AAAAATTAGCTGGGTGTAGTGGTACACGCCTGTAGTCCCAGTTATTTCCGAGGCTAAGGCAGAGTATTGCTTAAATTCGGGAGGTGGAGGTTGCAGCGAGCCAAGATCGTGCCACTGCACTAAAGCCTGGGCAACAGAGCAAGACTCCGTCTCAAAAAAAAAAAAAAGGATACAGGTTAGAATTAGCAAAGGGAAAAGGTGCATAGACCAAGTCCAGGAGAAGCCAGGAACAAGCTTCCAGTTGCTCCCTCCAGCACAGTCCCACAGATAGTGTTTCATTCTCCCAGCAATAATATATAACAAGACATATGAAGACATATGAAGTCTTGCCAACCAGGGAGATGCACCCAAGCCTTGGATTCCAGGTTTTGTATTGGAGGTCCTGTAGGCATGCAGCACCTATGTGACTGGTCTTGGCTACTCACTTTCCAGCTTCCCAGAGATCAAACTGACATATAGTGGCCAAGGGCCTCAGGTATATAAAACAGGTGTGAGCCATAGGTCCATCCCGAGCATAAACTCTCTGGTTAAATTGATACGGTATGGCCCAAACTCTCAAGCTCTCCTCTTATCAGGCAGAATATTCCAAAGGGGCAGAGGTAACCTCCCAGGAGCTAGTCAAGGGTCAATCCTTTCTTTGGAATGTACACAATTTGAGTAACCTAAGCTTGCTAAGTTAACCCTTTATTGCACACCCAAGAAGTGTGTTATGTTGACTACAACATTTAAAAAAAATTATCTAAGTTTTTCATCTTCCTGATGGCAGAAAACTTGATGTAGTCATATTTGAGTTAATTTGCTTTTGTTTATTTTGTTTTTAGTCATTTAAATTTTAAACTCAATCAATACCATATTCATTCTCCCTTTTATCTATCACTGATTTGAAGGTCCAAGGGTTTAAGAGGGCCATGGCATATGTGGGGAAAGACATTAGATTTTGGGAGGCATTCTTGGTTTACCGTGGCATATGTAGAGTGTACCTTGCCTCCATTTCCCCCCCTCCCACAATAAAACATCTGCAAATATTTCTTTTTGTTGTGAAACTGGGTCTTGCTTTGTGGCCAAGGCAGACCTCAAACTCCTGGGATCAAGTGATCATCCCTCCTCAGACTCCTGAGTAGGGGGTATTGCAGGCACAGGTCACCCTAGCCGACTAAAAATATAGGTTTTGTTTTGTTTCTTTAGAGACTGAATCTCGCTGTTGCCCAGGCTGGAGTGCAGTGACTATTCACAGGCATGGTTATAGTGCACTGTGGCCTGAAACTCCTGGTTTCAAGTGATCCTCTCACCTCAGCTTCCTGAGAAGCGAGGACTACAGCAGTGCACACCTGTGCTTGAGTTCCATTGGATTTTGACTGTGGGCCCCCACCATGGACCCCACTGAGATAGTCTGAGATGGCCTTTGGTGCCTACTCATTGCATTCTCCTTATCCTGACTCAAGTCATCCAGGCCTCTCTACTTCCAAAAGCCTGAGAATCTTTTCCTTCTTCCTCTAAAGCTGTAAGAAATTGGGTGAAGGAGTTACTTCAGATCCTGTATGCCTAAACACGCCTCACAATCAGAGTTCTACTGAAAAATGATTTTCTTTTTTCTTTTTTTTGAGATGGAGTTTCACTCTTGTTGCCCAGGCTGGAGTGCAATGGCGTGATCTCAGCTCACCACAACTTTGCCTCCTGGGTTCATGTGATTCTCTTGCCTCAGTCTCCTGAGTAGCTGGGATTGCAGGCATGAGCCACCAAGCCTGGCTTATTTTGCATTTTTAGTAGAGATGGGGTTTCTCCATGTTGGTCAGGCTGGTCTCAAGCTCCTGACCTCAGGTGATCTGCCCACCTCGGCATCCCAAAGTGCTGGGATTACAGGCATGAGCCACCGCACTCAGTCCTGAAAAATGATTTTCTTTTTCTTTTTTTTTTTTTTTTTTGAGACAGAATCCCGCTCTGTCGCCCAGGCTGGAGTGCAGTGGTGCGAGCTCACCGCAAGCTCCGCCTCCCAGGTTCACGCTATTCTCCTGCCTCAGTCTCCCAAGTAGCTGGGACTACAGGTGCCCGCCACCACACCCAGCTATTTTTTGTATTTTTAGTAGAGATGGGGTTTCACCATGTTAGCCACTATGGTCTTGATCTCCTGACCTCGTGATCCCCCTGCCTTGGCCTCCCAAAGTGTTAGGATTACAGGCGCGAGTCATTGGGCCCGGCCGAAAAATGATTTTCTTAAGTGTTCTGGAAGTTCTAGAATTTCCACCCACTAGCACCTTTTGAGGGGTGGGATGAGAAATCTCACTAGCATGTAATGCTTTTTTTTTTTTTTTGAGATGGAGTTTAGCTCTTGCTGCCCAGGCTGGAGTGCAATGGTGCGATTTTGGCTCACTGCAACCTCTGACTCCCAGGTTCAAGCAATTCTCCTGCCTCAGCCTCCCAAGTAGCTGGGATTACAGGCATGCAACACTATGCCCGGCTAATTTAGCGTTTTTAGTAGAGACGGGGTTTCTCCATGTTGGTCAAGCTGTTCTTGAACTCCTGACCTCAGGTGATCCGCCTGCCTTGGCCTCCCAGAGTGCTGGGATTACAGGCATGAGCCACCGTCCCTGGCCAGCATCTAATGCTCTTATTCTCCTTGCTGATGCCCTTCTCTTCCAGTTCAGATGGCTTTGATCTCCTCTCTTGTAGGTGGTGGTAGTGGTGCAGTTAAGAAACGGCACATCATCCAATTAGGCGGACCCATAGGATGGATATGGGAAAGCAGTAACATCAGACAGGAAGATCAGATGGGAATAAAATTGTGGAGAGCTTTAGATGCAGTAGAGAGCCACAGAAAATTATGGGACAAGGGAGGGACATAGGATGAGAGCTGTAATTAAGGAAGAGTAATCTATTGGTAGCGTGGATCTTTGTGAAATATATTTGAACACACTTTGTAGGGCAACAATATCTAAATAAAGAAATCATATGATTAAGAAAAACAAACAATAAATTCATTTTCTGGACTTGAAGTCCCATATATGTGAACAAAGTACAAAGTAAGATTGTTTTACTCATGTGAAATTAGGAAGGCTAAAACGATGGAAGATAATTTTCTGTAAACCACGCTGATTTGAAAAACTTTAAGCTAGTGGGTTTGATCAAATTACATGGGATTCTTTCAAAACCAGTCTGCTCAATTTTACCTTTCAGTTTTCCTTCTCTACCACCGTCATCCGGGGAATAAGAAGGACTTGTCTTTAGTAGGCTTGAATCCTGTACACCACCTATGTAATGAATTTGTAGCAAATTAAGGGAGCTGATTTTTGAACAAAAAATTTCCATTCCTAGTGTGTGAATGTTTTCAACGTGCAGCTTCAAAAATATACAATATGGTTTGAATTCTGGGGAAGGAGTGTTCAACTTTGGGGTTGAAACTTTGGGCTTTAGGGGATAACAGATAAGTCTGAATTTTGAAGGAACTAAAACAAAGGGAACAGCGTGTACAAAGCAGGGTGGCCTGCAGCAGCAGCATGAAGCTGAGAGTCGCGGCGACTTAAGCTTGAGAGGTATATACGGACGAAATCATGGAGGGATTGGTAAGTGGGTGAAGACAAGTGGCACAGACTTCTGTTTCTGGACTCACCCAGGTCAGAATCACTTGAGATGCTGTCAAAATTGAATAACTGAATACGGAGGTGGCCCAAGCACCTGCTTTTCATTAAGCTTCTAAAGTGATTCTCATGCAAACTAAGGTTTAAGAGCTACTTCCATGCAAAAAACAAAACAAAACAAAAAACCCCCAAGCTTAAACAGGAACCAATAGGGGTGGGAGGGGTGGCGGGAAGAGCCGTTGAATTTCATGTGATTAAGTAAAAGAATTTCTCACTTGAGGCCTGCGGAGATTGTGTTTAAGAGCAAGGTCTCGAAGGACGGCTACGTTGCCTAGCCCTCCCCCATTGTCATCCTATGTAGTCCTCCAGGAAAATTGTGATTTTAGCAAAGTCTTTCATGACCCACTCCATCTTTCTCTAAAGTCCAGTACCGCTTCATTCGTATTGAAAAAAAAAAAAAAACTTATATACACTTCTTAAAGTTACGTGTTTACAAAAGCTTGTTTCCTCCACTCCGTTTCTATTCTTCAAGTTCCTTAAAAGCTGCGCCATTTTTTGAGTGAAAAATGTGCTTAACTTCTGATATCAGCATAGAGAGGTGAGGGAGGGAGGGAATAAAATAAGAGGGAGGGAAGAAATAAAAAAGAATCTTGAAGTTATGAATTATTTGGGCATCAGTATTGAGGCTTATTTTTACTTAATGATGCTATATTTATGCAATAAAAACATTAGCCAATCTGTATTAATTCCTGGGAAAACGAACCTTTAGTCACTTTAAAAAGCACATCACTGACTTTGAAAATTAACTTCACCTTTTTCATTGGGGAACCCTTTAAAAATTTCCAACTTGCACAAGAACTTCCCTCCCTTATTCTTCATACTCAGTCATTCATTCTAAAGATGAGTAAAATTAGGTTGCAATATCTATGCTGCCTCCAGAGTACCTCTTTCACACAGTATTTTTAGAAAATTATTTCCTTGTTTGCTCTTCAGTACCTCCACTCCTTCCTCCTGTGACCCTCCTACCATATTTACCCCTCCTACAAGACCAGGTCTCCAGTAATGAAACGAGTTTTCCAAGCAGTTACTTAATTAACGGCATTGAGTAGACAAGTGAGGTCCCGCCCCCTAGGAGGAGCTAACACCGCGGACCGAATCAGGCGGATGGTCGATAACAAATGAACCCTCAATCTTTTCAGAGGAGGAAACACACACAAAGGTCCAATCAGAGACCGCGGCTCCAGGAGTCCAGAGGGGGCGGGGCTGGACAAGCACCACCCACTTCCCAACCTCCCGCCGCGGCCGACAGAGCCTCGCGGGCTCCGACAGGTCCCGCCCCCTCGCCAGGCGCGGCTGCTATTGGGCGGCGGGCTCCTCGCCGAAGCCTCAGTTGCTGGGAGAGGGAGGGCGGGGGCGGGGCCTGAGGTGGGCTTGGGGAGCGATGAAGAGAAAGGCGGGGAGGCAAGGGCGGGCTGGGCGTATTCGACGAGCGCCGCGGCGGTTGGCGTAGCGGACGGGGTGCAGCCTCCCCGGTGTGAGGAACGGTCTCCGCTGACAGATCCCCTTCTTCCGGCCGCGCCACTCGGGAGGCGGATCCCTTGGGCCTGAGGAGGCTTCCCCCGCCCGGCTTGCTTTCCCTCCCTCCCTGGCGCTGCCGCGAGTCCACCGAGCGGCCTCTAAGGAGCAGCCGCAGGAGGAGGAGGAGGAGGTCGTCGGGGGCGGCGGGTGAAGACCGCGCTCTCGCTTCCCCGGCGGCGGCGGGGGCAGGACAATGGAGGTGGCTGTGGAGAAGGCGGCGGCGGCGGCGGCAGCGGCCTCGGCGGCGGCCTCCGGGGGGCCCTCGGCGGCGCCGAGCGGGGAGAACGAGGCCGAGAGTCGGCAGGGCCCGGACTCGGAGCGCGGCGGCGAGGCGGCCCGGCTCAACCTGTTGGACACTTGCGCCGTGTGCCACCAGAACATCCAGAGCCGGGCGCCCAAGCTGCTGCCCTGCCTGCACTCTTTCTGCCAGCGCTGCCTACCCGCGCCCCAGCGCTACCTCATGCTGCCCGCGCCCATGCTGGGCTCCGCCGAGACCCCGCCGCCCGTCCCTGCCCCCGGCTCGCCGGTCAGCGGCTCGTCGCCGTTCGCCACCCAAGGTGAGAACCGGCTGCGGCCGCGGGGGCGCCCGGGGAGAGGGCCGGGAGGGGGCGGGCGCCCTTGTGCAGCGCGACCCGCTGTCATGTCGCCGCCGCCCGGGGTGCGCGGCGGGGGAGGGGCGAGCAGGAGGGTCTGTGCTGGCGACGGTGACATGGAGGGCCCGCGCTCTGCGGCGTGCTGCGCTCGGCCAGCAACTTCCCCGGGCGCTGTGGACTTGACCGCGCCGCCGCCGCCGCTCCGCGTTCTCTACAGCCGGGCGGCCCCTGCCAGCCGCACTTTTGCAGACCTCTGCGGAGTCTCCTGCAGCCGGAATCTCGGGTTCTTTGCCGCCTGCATCCAGTTAACTGCTACCCGCCCGCTGCCTCCACAAAGCTTTGTCCAGGTCCATATGATCCTGATCATCTCGTCTATACCCACGTTATTTGAGCTGGAGGGGAGAAGGGAGGGATGAAGATGAAGTGATGGTGACTTTCTTTCATGACTGATTGCAGATCGGATGTCATTTATTTCTTATCTTGCATGTTTGGGGCTCTTTACCTTAATGAGTTCCCAATTCTCTTCCCTCTCTTCTGCTGGGGACAAAGGAACCAAGAGACGTTGTTTTGTTGTGTGTCTCTTTCAAGGGTTTTATTTTGAGACGGTGAAGAGAAATAATGCAAAGTGATTTGGGGTGCAGGGTTTCCTGGTATTTTATAGATAAAGCTGGAAGTTACTGTTCTCTTTGTGGTGTTTATTACTGTAGAATTAGACTTTTGACAGGTGTTCCCATTGCTAACTTTAACAGGTTTGAAACGTTTAAAGTAAGTTTAAGTGGATACAGTTTTGGGTAGAACACTTGGCAGTTTTTAAATTTTATCGCAAATATTTGAGCACCTCCTTTTAAAAAAATACAGTGTAAATGGAAAAGCATTTTTAATACTTTTTAGAGGGAATAGTTGATTTAGTTTGAAATAAAATGCTAATTTTGCGCTACGTTAAGGGAAGTGTGAAATGGATACTTTAGATTGTGGTCCGAGACTCATTTATTTAACTGCATGTTAGGCCCAGTATCCACTTGTAGGAGACAGTTTTCCATGCGTCTCCGTTTCTTCACTCTTGCCAGCACCCTTGCCAGGAAGATACTGACTGCCCTTTGTTTCTGTTTTTCACGGATATTATCTAAAGAGCAGCCTTCGATAGTGTCTTCCACCAGAGCAAGAGGCAGGGATACGTATTATCCAGCATAATAAGAATAATGTCTCCCTCTGGAGCGAAAGGGTAGGCATGCTTACTGCCCATCTTAAAAGATTAGGGTTCCCTAAGCTTAGGGTTCCTCTCCTGTAGAGAAGGAACTGCCTGTGTAGATGTCAGCTGGCTCTCTTCACGTTGACCAGTGGGAACCTGGAGTTCCGAGAACTAGTGCAAAAATCTTGATGCTTTGGCTTATGCTGTTCCTGTGAGTAAAAAACAGACTGCCCTGTGTCTCTGACCCTTGAGTGTCTTCTATCACCATCCGTGAAACTGGTAAGGTTGTTAGCTTGCAAGTTGAACAGACTTGCAAGTTGAACTGGTAAGGTTGTTAGCTTGCAAGTTGAACAGATCCTTCACACTAGTTTGCTCTGAAGAGGCCCACTACTGGAAAGTTCGAACAGGTGAAAGCTTAAACCTTAGTTCTTGTTTCTTTGTTTATTTTGAGACAGTGTCGCTCTTGTTGCCCAGGCTCAAGTGCAATGGTGCGATCTTGGCTCACCGCAACCTCTGCCTCCCGGGTTCAAGCGATTGTCCTGCCTCAGCCTCCCGAGTAGCTGGGATTACAGGCATGCGCCACCACGCCCGGCTAATTTCGTATTTTTTTTTTTTTTTTTGGTAGAGATGGAGTTACTCCATGTTGGTCAGGCTGGTCTGGAACTCCCGACTTGAGGTGATCCGCCCACCTTGGCTTCCCAAAGTGCTGGGATTACAAGTGTGAGCCACCGTACCCCGCCTGTTCTTATTTCTTAGGCGCATTTTAAGGTTGGTTTTTCCTTCCTCCCTGCCTACCTTCCTACCTTCCTACCTCGCTTTGTCCTTCAGGCTGGAATGCAGTAGCACGATCTCAGCTCACTGCAACCTCCGCCTCCCGGGTTCAAGCAATTCTTGTGCCTCAGCGGGGCGCCACACCCGGCTAATTTGTGTGTGTGGTTTTTTTTTAGTAGCGATGGAGTTTTGCCATTTTGGCCAGGCTGGTCTTGTACTCCTGACCTCAGGTGATCCACCTGCCTTGGCCTCGCTAAATGCTGGGATTACAAGCATGAGCCACCCCGCCCGGCCTCTTCCATTTATATTTTAAATGGTTAAACAGGCTAGTAGCCAATTAAGATCTGAATTGTGCATTATTATAGAATTAAGATATATTGTTTGCCTGGCCATGACATATGGACTTGAATTAATGAGAACATGGATCATAAAGTTATCATCCTCAATTCTGAGACAAGTTTGGGATTCCATACTTCTCAAAATGTTCTACGTAATTACAATCTGAATATTTTTTATCTTTATGCTGTATTGTAAGCAAGAGTTCAAAGAAAGCATTTAAATTGGGAGATGTTTTTGTTTTTATACTAAGAAGAAGGTTTTAACAAATTATACTTTAAAATAACCTCTAAAAAGGATTAAAATTATCTTTAATAAATTAAAAATGCTGTCCTGAGTCTTAGTGACTTGGGTATTTTCTCCCTTTATCTCTCCTTGCATACTTATTTTAATACTAGCTGAAGCAAAAGTTTAGACATTTCTTAACTAAATAATGGGTTCATTTGATCAAACCATTTCTTCATTTTCTTAATGAATTTGTGAGTATGGGCATCACAAGTCAAGTAATATCTATTACAGAAGGGTTAAGTAGGTAGTTGGGATGGAGAACTGTGTGAGCCTTGGGGTAAAATGATAGGAAATGATGGGGAGTACAAGCAGGGGGGCAGACTCCTAGCCATAGCACTTTGTCATGTGAGTGCAGGGCAGGTATTGAAGGATCTTTTATTTATTTAATGCAAATTCTGAATCTGGATTTTTAACAAAATTTTTCTAGTATTAGGTATTGTCAAGTAATTAAAAATGTGAATATTTATACACATAAATATATATACACACAGACAATTAATTTATGGGCCCATGCTATAGGCCAAACAATAGGTGTGTTGAGGCCAAATATGTTACAGTTCATACACTTTTTAGATTTCAGAAACTGGAGATTTTCAAACTTTAACACCGCTAGAATCACCTAAAAAAAACTTAGATCTTTAGGCTCCTCCCTCCTTTAAGTCCGATTCTACCTAGTCTGGCATACTTACAGAATTCTAGAGTATAATACAGTTATACTCTAGAATTGTTTCTTTAACACAAGCAGTATTCTAAAACTGTTTCAGATCTAGTTTCCCTTTCTATAAAATACTTTTTCATGCTCTCTTTGTCATCCTAAATGAATTTCATGGGGAAAAAAATCCTTCCTAACACATTTTTCTTACAAAAGTAAACATAATGTTTGAACTGTTTTAAAGGAGAAATAAAATGAAGCAAATAACAACAGAAAAGTATAATTTATAAATGCTTAGATACAATTACACTGGCCACCAAGCTCCCATTGAGAACATTTGTTTTAAAACTTTGGTTTAACTGTCTTTTTTTCTCAGGCTACATGTTGGAAGGAATGAGGGTGAATGACCACAAGCTAAAATTGGATGACTCCTTCAGTCTTAACTGTCATTTTGTTAGTATGCAGTTATATCTAGGAAAGAGGCAAAACTTGAGAAAATGGATTTTCTTTTATGTACATTAAGAAAACAAACTGATCTTAGAGAAATGTTATGACATTGTGTACTATTTAGTGTTAACATACTGTTCGGCTAACGAGTAGCGAACTGAGAGTTTGAGAGCAGTTTTCCCCTCCATATCTAAAAGACGATATTGAAGAGCTATTTTTGACAAATACTGAGAACATAACTTTTGAAAGGTATCACATTATTTGTCTAGAGAGGGTAAAATATAAGACTAAATCCCTTTTCCAAGATTTCTTTACTAACTGGCAGTATACAAGATATGTAACTATTCTGGGACTGATTTCTTGGCAAAAAGTATAAATCATCTCATGAGTGCAAGCTTTAATTCCAAAGGATTAATATTTAAGAATGATCTGTGTTACCTGTCAGTCCTATACATGGTTTATTCACCTGTTGGTAGAAATTAGTATTTTTTAAATTTGGGGCTATTATGAATAAAACTTAAAGGTATTTGTCATTTCCCTGAGTAAATAACTTAGAATTGGAGTTTCTTTTTATGACAAATGTATGTTTACACTGCTTGTATTACTTTATAGTCCCTCCAGCAGTTCCCTCCAGAGTTTGTTCACTCTCCCCAATTTGGGTATTGTCAGTCTTAAAAAAAAAATTTTTTTTTTTTTTTTTTAGACGGAGTCTTATACTCTGTCATCCAGGCTGGAGTGCAGTGGTGCAATCTCGGCTCACTGTAACCTCCGCCTCCCAGGTTCAGGCAATTCTCCTGCCTCAGCCTCCCAAGTAACTGGGATTACACGCACCTGCCACTACACCTGGCTAATTTTTTTTTGTATTTTTAGTAGAGACAGGGTTTTACCATGTTGGCCAGGCTGGTCTTGAACTCTTGACCTCAGGTGATCCACCCGCCTTGGCCTCCCAAAGTGCTGGGATTACAGGTGTGAGCCACTGTGCCCAGCCTGTTATTCTTTTAAATTTTAACCATTGTAGTAGGTCAGAAAAGCTATCTCATGGTTTTGGTTTTCATTTTTCTGATGAATAATGATGAGCATCTTTTCTTGTGCTTAGTAGTCATTCTTTTTTGGTGAGATTTTGGCTTGTCTTTTGCAAATTTCAAAAAATTAGGTGGTTTGCCTTTTTTTTTGTTTTTTTTTTTTGAGACAGCATCTTGCTGTGTTGCCCAGACTGGAGTGCAGTGGCGCCATCTCAGCCCACTGCAACCTCCACCATGTTGCTCAGGCTGGTCTCTCAAC